GCGCAACAGACAGCTTGCAGATATGTTTCTGGTGCCTGAAAGCCCCTCATGGCAACCACCTATACTCCAAAGGCCCCAAAATATGGGTGCTTCCAAATGGCCAGCCCATCAAACCCGAGGATGCTGCCCACATGCTTCAACAAAATGCTTTTGATTTTTTCTTTTTTGTACGGCGCATGGCACTGGCAAGGGAATTGCTAACCAGACCGTGGCGTTGGATGTTTCTCGACATGTTCCGCTCGGCCCCGTGCGTCAACGGCTGTCTTCATCTTGACTGCTTGTACAGTCTCAAATCGTTCGCTCGCATTCGGTGTATTAGTTGGACGCATCCGAGTAATGTCGCGCTACGCGCCCCGGACATTTGCGTTCAATGAATGGCCAGTCAACCAATGCCATGGTCTCCAACGAATCATCGGTAAGTCGAGCTTGGGAGCTTGGCTTATGCTCATCTCGGAGTAGGATCTTCATCCAGCATGCAAGCATTTTCCAGCATGTTCGTCCATTTGCCGCTTGTGCCTGCGTGGCTATGCTTAAGATGCTGCCGAAAGTGATCTGCGCGGAAAAACTTCTTGCTGCTGTTGCACTCCCTGAACTTGTGTACTTCTTGGAGATGGCGAATGCGCTCTTCCCAATCCTGGTCGGTAGCGTGTCGCGGTGCGGAAGCACCAGGGCCTCTCCCGTTTCTAGGGAACTCCTCACCACAGTAGCCACAAGAGTCTGCTTCACCGGGGCGATTGGTACTGTCGTGGAACGCACGATCATAGCCATTCAGGGCTGAGCAACTCCAGCTGTGTCTGCGAACATGAAGACTATTCTGGTGGCGTTCGGCCTCATTCTTGTTCTTGAATCGATTTCCGCAGAAAGAACATTCATACTGCTTCTCGGCTTCGTGAGACCTGTTGACGGTTAGCGAAAAGCTTCTAATATTTGCAGGGTCGGTACTTACGCCAACTCCTCAGCCGACTCAAATTTCTTGGGTTTCTTCGGGCAACAATCGCACATGAAGAATCCCGAAATTTTGGTTCCACCAGGCTTGCTCACCTCCGTAAGCTTGCGGGGAGAAGCGAGAGGCCGGCTTTCGCTAATGGTCCGCTGGTGGGGTGCCCTGGAAAGGGAACCGCGAGGCGAGGGGTTGAGCGACATTGATGCACTGTAGGGAGAGCTGCAGCTGGGGTCGGTTCCGCCGGGCGAAATTCCACCTGGGGAAAGGCCCCCTGGAGAGACTCGGCCAAACGACGACGAGCCCATGCTGGTAATGCTCCCGGTGAGTAGTGATAGGTTAGAGCTGTAAGACCCTGCGCGACCGGATGGCGAAGAGATTGATCCTTGAGGGATGACACTCAGTCGAGGCGTGGGGGATCCTCTTTGGTTTCCATCGCGACGGCGTAGCAAGTCACTCTGGGTGGTGAAACCAAGTGGTACGCTGTCGTCGGGATCAGCGGATGCACGGCGCTTCGCCCCAGCACCATCGTAGTGTGCTCTCATGGGATCCTCTATCCGCAATCTCTTCATAGAATTGGTCTCCTCCATTTCCATCTCCTCCACTTCGTAGCTGTGCGATGATGCATCGTCGCTGTTATTCCTTCTGGTGCGAGTAGGTGGTGACCTGTCGAGGTCGGAGACGGACCGAGGTGACCTATAGTCCTGGCCGAGATGGAATGGCTGGCTTCTAGGGGAAGGTGAGAGGGCAGAGTGAGGAGTCTGCGTGTATCTGTCGGGAGAGTCTAGTAGGTTTGACGTCTTGAGGTGCAACGGAAGACTGGTGGGCACGGAGAGTGGCGGTACCCGCATGTCGCCAGAAAGCCTCCTCGAGAAAGGGTCACTAGTTGATGATGTGCTTGACGCACTGAGGAGTGAGCCAGGCGGCTTGTTATCGAACGTCTTTAGGGGAGCGAGCTTCTTCTTCATGTCGGTGAAAGCGTCGGCGCCAGACTGGAACTGGAACTGGTTGTGGTGCAGACCAAACCCGGCCGAGATGCTCGGCAAGGAACATTCAGATCTATCAATGTGAAAATGTTAGATGGGCACCCAAAATCTCGACACTCTCAAGTTCTTTTCTTCTAGAACCAAACTAGGCCCGATTGAAAGGTTGGGGATTTCCTACCTTGTGGAAGCCGAAGCTGAAGACGAACCCATGCTGGCATAACCCTCATCGTGCCTGTAACCGGACCTCATGTAGTGTGGCCTGTCATCCAAACTTCCCAAGCTGTCGTGGTAACTATGTTCTCTAGGGCTGTATGATGAGGGATCGCGGTAGTGTTGTCTGGGCTCCTGGTGATGCATGTGAGGATCGTCAAAGGGAAGTCGTGGTGGTGGTAAGGGCGGCGGTGCGTTGATTCTGTCTCCGGAACCTGGGATGGCCACAGAGGAGGAGTAACTGCTAGAGTCGAAGCGGTTTGAGTCTCTTGGGTTTGAGTCTATAAATATGCTGGGAAGACCCGCAGGCTCCCTGTATCTCGAAGGTGCCTCCATGATGTCGGTTTGTATCTGTGCAGTTGCTGGCTGAGGATTGACAATTCCAGCTGAAGCGGCGCCACTAAGGTTTATAGTGACGGAAGCACGGGCGTCATGAGTGATGGGCCGGGAAATATCTAGGGTTCTGATCGCGGTGGGATACGAGAAGCGTCCGAGGCCAAGGCGGTCGTCTTGGAGGCCGTGGGTGGCGATGGCAGTCGGGTTCGCCGTTGGTTGAGAACGGGGGCCAATGCAAGCCGAGAATGGCTGTCTCTGTCGGTCTCTCTCTCTTGCGTCACGCAGCGGTCGGGGCCGAGAGGAGACTGAAAAAGGAAAGACAAGACTAGACGGAATCGAGCAAAGCGGCGCGAGTCGTAACGTGGAAGAGGGAAAAGTAGCAGACGTCGATGTGGTTGGACTGGATGTACAATTGTTGAGTCCGGCGGTCTAATCGCGGGACAAGCAGAAACAGATCAGGTCCGGACGGCGTCGAGGAATGCGAGGCGCAAATGTTGTCGGAGGAAGCAGAGTGGCCGGAGCTGGGGTGGGTAGAGTTTACATCCGTAAGTCAGGTCAGGTCGTGGGGGGGAGACGACAGCTGAAATAAGAGGCGATTGTGTGACGACGCCAGCTGCTGTATAAATAAAAATAAAATAAAATCGACACCCCCAGGTATGGCGAGGCGAAAGAGGCGACTAGTACTTATGAAAAAAAGGCGGGAGAACGAGTCGAGTGGAGGAGACAGACCTGGTCAAGGAGAGGAGAGGAGAAGGGGGTGGAGGGGGAGCCCAGGGAAGCTGTCGGCAGCGTCAAGCGAAGCTCCAGCGGCAGCAGTAGCGGTATCCGTAGGTAGCGGTATTCGTAGCGGTAGCGGCCCAGGGACCCAGATGGAGGCACATCCAAACCTCCAACTTCGGCGTAACGTGGATTGGAGAAGAAGCCCCCGGGTGGTTCCTTTTTACCCCCAGCAGGGGCAGTAGCAGGGGATACTGAGAGACAGAGGACAGCCCAGGCAGAGAAGAGACCTGACTGAGAGAGAGAATACCTGATACCCTAGCTTAGCACGCCTACTGTGAACGGATACACTAGGTCCTGAGGTATCCTTAGCCCAGGGCCTTACAGGGCAGGGCAGAAGAAGAGGAGGTGGAGAAGAGGAAGGCCGGATGGAAGACAAGAAGGGAGGGGTGACGGGAATGATTTGATGGGTGAACTTTGGAAAAGGGGGTGTATGTACTAAGTAGAAGGGGAGTGGTGATAAGGAAGAGAGGGGGGGTGGATCTCTCTCGTTGACGGGTAGAGTAGCGGGACGCTTGTTCGGCGAGCAGCCCTAAAAGGAATAGGATGCGGATGGGGACTGGCTAGTCATACACCAGGGAACCACGAGCACGACGTTGGGCGTGTGGCTGTTTCTTGTAGCCCGTTGAGTTAGTGCCATGCAAGCACATAAGCAGCAATGCAGCCCTGTCTGTCAACTTCTTGTCGCCCTTCCTTCACGCTGCGTCGGGGTGTGGGTAGCACCTAAGGTAAGGTAGGCAAGGTGGTGTAGACTAGGTATTCGTAGCGGTAATGGTTGTAGGGAAGGGGGTTGTTGCTCGGATCGAGCGTTCGAGGGGAAATGGAAGAGAGAAGGAGGGCTGGGGACGGAGAGTCATGGGGGTGACGGAATGAGGTGCGTTGATGTTGATGCGACCAAGGCCACCCAGGCGATATAAGCATAGATAGCTCAAGGTGTATATGTGCGTATATGTGTGTGCGTGTGGTGTGTATGCCGTGCTGTTACTAGCTGCGTGCGTGGGCTACCTTGAATGGGCAAGGTGAGGCGATGGATCTAGAAGGCTCGAGGAAGCATCCGAGTCGGATCGAGTTGTTGGAGGAATCGGAGTGCGTCAAGGACGGCGGGGTGAGGAATGCAGTAATTTGTCTTCCTTGGTGATATTCGGAGAGGTGTGGGTAATAAGACGGCGGTGATGGCGTGCGGCGTGCGGTGTGCGGCGAGCCGTGGAGTCTAGACGGCGTCCGGGTCGTGTCCTTTGCCCGGTGCTAGTCTCCTGACGTACGAATACGGTATTCGTAGGTAATCAATAGTAATATGCCTTATGAGCCAAGGGAATCCGCAGGTCTGGGTCCGTCCGGACGAGGGCCGGGGGAGCGCAACAATGGAATGAAGAACAAAAGAAGTCGAGAATGGGATTGTGTCCGGGCGGTCTGGCAGGTGTCGCGACGGAACCTCGCTCGATTCAGCAGAGACGTGGAGGCACCTGAGTAAGAATCAGCACAGAACCTGACAAAAAAAGGTACGAGTTGTAGGTGAGAGAAAGCAAGGCAGTCAAAGTACCTTGCGTTCAGGTGGATGAATACCTAAGGTACCTAGGTAGGTAGGTACTTTGAGGTAAAGTAAGGTGTGATGAAGACTGCCTCGACGCTCGCTCCGTGCGCGAGATGGAATGGCGTGTGAAGAAAGACCAAGGCGGGAATGCAGCGCATTTGAGGTTTCGTGGTCCGACTGATGAGATGGAAGTTGGGAAATCATCCCGAAGCCGAGGACGATGACCAAGCAGCGTGAGGTGAGCTGTTCAGCTGTTGGAGCATTTGTTTGCTACCTGCATGTTCCTGTCGGACCAAGTCACCAGGTAAAGTACCTACCTAAGGTAAGGTAGGTAAGGTAGGTAGGCACGGTTTGGTAGGTACCTTCCATGCGAATTGATACGAAGAATTACATCACACGCATCATCTCAAGGGAAGAGGACAGGCAGAAGTGCTGCTGCCTCTTGCCCTCCTCATCGTTACATGTCCACCTTCCCTTTCTCCTTCCCAAATCAACGCAAATTCCCGTTGACGAAGCCACATGCATCACGAAGTGGGTAGGCGTGAGAACTATCCGCAAGGCAGGAACGATGCGCATCGACAATGAAAGAGGTACCGCACGAAGCGATGAGCACAGATCCATACCTTAGCTAAGATAGGTACCTTGGATACCTTTGGCGTAACTTCCCTTCCGTAGGTAGACACGTCGGTGAGGCAAGTACTCCGTACGGATACAGCAGGCACGAACATTCAGGTTGGCGCCAAGGCCAAGGAGGAACTGGAGGAGTCAGGAAAAGCAAGAGGGGAAATGATGCGAAACGGGACTTTGGTGGATTTGCATCTCGCTTTTGCATCTTGCAGCCTTTGGGCTTCACTTAAAGAAAGCTACCTAAGACTAAGGCACATTTGGGTTGCCCGAGTTGCCTGCCTGGGTAAGCAATGAAAAGTAAGGTCGGTCGGGCTTAGATGGGGTCTGATGCTGAGCTCATACTGATGCTGATGCTGATGCTGATGCTGATGCAAAAGAGGCAATGGATGACCTTGCCTTGCTTGCCTCATTGCAGGCATAGAAGTTGCAGGTGTAGAAGAAACACCCAAAGTGCATATCTCAAGTGCCACAAGCATCTTGAGGCAGCGGGGTGAAGGATCTCGCAACGGTCTCTTGGGCTCTTGAACAAGTGCTTAGATACGCTGGGTGGGGTCCTTGAGAACCGTAGGTACTCCGTACTCCGTACTTCATCAGGTCTTGCCCATCTCACCCAAGAAAACACGACCGAGGGAGAAGCTATCAACCATAAGGTAAGAAACGTACCGCATTGCGCTACCTGATTGTGCTCCCTCACAGGCTCACGTCGTGATTCCGTCCGTCTCTCCGTTGAAAAGAAGAATGCGTGTGCAGTGTGCTCCAAAGATGCAAGTCCAAGGCGACACAGGGCAGAACAGGGCAGAAAGCGGGTTCCGTTGAATCATTCCATTTGCTGCGCGCTCCCGGTGCGTCCCTCCCGCGGTCCAGTGTCGTGGCTGCAAAGATCAGGGGTATCCGATCAGGATTAGCGCGGGTCCACGACGACGGGGTAGCACCGCATGGTGGCCCGTGGGAGGGGAGAGAGAGCAGACAAGGCAGGCGCAAGGGTCTCCGAGAGCAGGGCAAGGACCACGGCTCTCTCGACCTTCTCGTGCTTCCTTCCAAACAAATATCCCAAGTATCATCAACAAGTCCGCTGCCCAAGCTAAGGTAAGTCCCTCGAGATACAATCCTGGCGTTCCATTCTGTCTGCTCGTTTGTTTTTTGCAGCCAAGAAGCGTATTACGCGTTTGGATACTGTTTCGGCGAGGTATCTTGAGTCTCATTTCCTCGGTACTCCTACCCGTAGAGAGGCCTTCTCTGCAACCGTTCGGATAGAGCGTCAGTGTGAGGTATTTGGATGGAAAAAAGAGTCAGAGTCTGGAGACAAGGGCTGCTCGGTAAGGCAAGGAGGAGGAAGAAGAAGAAGAAGAAGAAGAAGATTGAGTGGAAGACTGGAAGGCCCTGAGGGCATGGGGAAGGAACTTGGGACGGGGGGGTGAAAGGGTGAAAGGGGTGAGCACTTTCAGGATCATGTTCTCTGCCCAGGCATACAGACCTCAGGGCGTGCGCTAAGCGGATGGCTACTATACACACACCCCAGCATCTAACAGAGCAAGGGGTATGGAAGGAAAATTGAGGGTGTAGAATTGAGCCCTGCTGGCCCTGCTGGCCCTGCGCCTACCTCCCACACACGGGAAGGCAGGAGCGAGGGTGGGATTGGCACTGGGGAACCTGATGGACCAAGGAGAATGGATCGCTCCGATACGTACCTTGCCTCGGACCTCAGGTTGAACCTAACGTAACCCAATGGGAGACGAACTACAAAGTGCAGACTCCCGTCGTACATAGAGACCACCTCAGGTGGCATAGAGATACCCAGGCAAAAAGGTACCTTGGTCTGCAGCACACACACCTACAGATGGCATCCGACAAATTTAGAAAGACAAGTACGCACTCACCACTCTTTCCCATCCATCTCAGTCAGCAGCTTCCTGTAAGGTTACTAAGGGGCCAAGGTAGTAAGGTAAGGTAGGGTAGGTTCCCAGCTCCAACATATGGTACTACGCCTACCTGCCTCTTAGACAGGATAGTAACAACGACGTACAGGGAAGGTGTGCAGAGGGAACCTCACCTTCCGCGGTTCCTTGGTTGACTAGAATAGAAAAGAGAGCACCATTAAGACACCACCCCACACGACGGATCACCCCCTACGACGGATCACCCAATTCGGTACAATTCAGTCAAAAACCACTAATTCTACCTACTTCATTTTATAATATAAAAAATATATAGAAAATACTTTTAGATATAGAATATATAGTTTTCTTATTAAAATATTTTTTATAAATTATAATCTATTATAATTACTAAGATATTATTAAGTTAAATATAATGTTTTTTACTATATAAAAATACGATTTCTAACTTTATGAAAAATAAATAAAGTTAAGTATTTTAAAAAACTAGAATTTTTAAAATATTTTTCTAAGCTTAAATATATTATTTTTAGCGTTATACTAATTATATAAGCTTAGGAAATTTAAGTTTTTATAAATGCTACTTATTATAATATAACTTAATATTTCTATATAATAATACTTATATTACTAATAAAAAACTATTTATATAAGTATAATATAAATCTACTAAAAATAATCTGCTTTAAAATCTTATTTTTTTTAATAAATAAAAGAGTTATATAACATAGTATAATATTAGTATTTATATAGAAATTACTAGTAAATACTAATATTTAAAGGCATATTTTAAATCTAATATTATTATGTAATATAATATAAAAATAATTTCTTGAAATATTTTTCTATACTAATTATTTTTTTTATAGCTTGTGTATTTTTTGAAATATTTATTCTTTAATTATTTACATATATATAGAATAGCGGTTTTGGCTGAATGTGGCCGAATTGGGTGATCCGTCGTAGGGGGTGATCCGTCGTGTGGGGTGGTGTCTTAGCTAAGGAAAGGGAAGGTAGGCACGAAGGATAGGTACCCTGGTACATGGGCATTTTGGGTGAGGGTACCTTACCTTACCTCGCCTTACCTAACAGAATAGTTGCATCATTCATCACTTCTTCTCGCTTTTGCCTTCCATTGGGTTGCTGTTGCATTCAGGTTACAATCCACCTCCCTACACTACATCACCTTCCTGTGCACCGTTCCGACCATGTCGAAATTGTCGTCGTCGTCGTGCGGCATGTCTGTGTCATTGCGCTGCAGTGCCTGTCCTCCCATCTTCTCGTCTCATTCGGCCAAACGATGGTTCAAGACCCCGAGTGGCACCTCTCCACAACCTCACCTCTCTGCCTTACACCGTTTGACCGCAGTCTACACTATCCGCACCGCACCGCGGCGCACCGTAATGACTGCACCCTATCGAGGCAAATTCCAAGGTTCCAAGTTCCAACCCTACGCCTTGCTGCACCTCCGCTGTCAACTCCAGACCCCCCTCCCATCCAGCCCAATCCCGCCTCATCCTGGGACAACGCTTGTACGACCTTGCCTCCCCGCCACAGACAGGCCGACAGACTGACTCCCCAGTCCGGCGTTCAACCGCCGCTACTTTGGCTCGTTCCACCATCACGATGCTATCTTGGAGCTGCCTTGCCACTCTTCACTCCAGGCACAGCAAAGCAAACACCCTCAACGATGCTCGGTCTCATTAACGCAGACATTGGCATTGTTCCCAGCCATCACCTGTTGTCTGCGGCACTGCTGCCCACGCCATTAACTTCGACCTCACCGCATCTATCAATGACCTCCTCGACTCGAACCGCCTCCACACAGGCGTGGATCTCGAACCATTCGTACCCCTCCCTGCAGTTACCCCACCGCCAATCACTGCCATCAGACACCAGGGTACTCCACGCCGCACCCATCTTATCTTCATAACCTCATACAGGTAGACTCACCACCATACGTACCTACATTATGTGTCTACGCTGCGAACGAACATGCTCAAAGTCCCTGCACTCTTTATGTCCGACAACACAAGGCAATCGGCTCCATGTGGTTTTTGTTCATGTCCGACATTGGCAAGAAGCAGTTCCAACCGCCATCGTCGCCTCTTTTGGTCACTATCATTGATTGCAAATGTCGTTTTTGGGTCGGTATCCTGCCCTGTCTCTTGTTCAGAATTGCTATAGGTGCTTACCGATAATCTGAACCCACTCACTCAATCCCCGCAGATTTCTGATCAAATGCCTACGGAACAGGTGCAAAATTGAGGGCCCTTGATGCCACTATTTCCAAAGTCCCTCCCACTTTAGCCAAGCAGGCAGAGAGCTACGGTGCCAATGCCGAATATTGGCGCCGTCTCGCCGAGCAAGCTTATTTATGTGCACTTGTTTGTTACAACCTCTCCACAGCGCATTCACAATCAGATATCGATAGGCACTGCAATAATCTTTGACAACGAAATAGCTCCCCAAACAACGAGTGGACAACCACCGAAGGACAACTCGGCTTGCGTACTGACAAGTTCACAATGGCAGTGCCTCATTCTCTACTACAGAAGCTTCAATATGGCAAAACGCAATTTCCACGGTCTAAAGCCTCCGGCCTGGTTTGGCTAACTCGACGATCTTCAGGTTGCGGCGCTGCTACTGCTGCTGCTTTTCGCATCTCGATCTAACCACATCGATCTTCCCGCAGCCGCTCAGTCTGCCAAGCAAGCCCGCCTACGCGAAAGATCTCAAATCCGTGGTCGCTTTTAGCACCTTCAGTCTCGGGGTTCAGATGCGCGGTCAGCCTGCCAGGCCGGCCATCTCTTGACTGGGCTGTGCACGTCGGCACTTAGTCCTAGCAGCCAATCATGGGAACGAAGAGCGTCGGGGATTTCGCCGCCAAACCCTCCTCTCATTCCGCCGTTGCGCTGCAGCTCACCGTTTGCATGTTCATGCCAATCAGTCAGTCAAGGCCCGCTTGTCGCCCGACTGAGCACGGCACACCCACAGCGATACAAACGCACCGCTTGGTTCAGGATGACTGTGTTTACGAGCGGATCCTTGGCCAATCTTGACGCTCAAAATTGCGTCAGCCTTCTCCTCTTGCGACGACCACGACAACGACGACAGAGCATAACTCTGTCACCAAGGAATAGCTGTCTCGCCATTGGTCTTCAACACGGGACGTCCTTTTGGTCCAAGCCAGCTTCCGCTGACTTGCCTTGCGGAGGGCTATTCAGTTCTCGGTATTCACCTGTCGGTTCGGGTCATTCTTTCACGCTCTCTCTGCGATCAGGTGATGAGTATCACATCATTACTCTTCAAACTAGGACACCCAAGAGTCCGTTAGAACGAGCTAAGACGTACGGATAGCTTGCCCGGACTTCGTACAGGCCTCGGTTTGCTCCGTTTGGAAGGGTGGCCCCTGTCGAGATCCGAAGTATTGGACGCTATTTGGATTTCTCTCCCGCTACTGGAAAGTAGGGCGTAAGGCCCCAAGTTTGACGAGCCGCCAGCTGCCCCTTGTTGGCAACGCTGAAGCACCGACAGCGTCAGTCTTTTCGGACCACATTCCATCTTTTGACTAAGCGCCTACAGCCCCCCGCCGGCGCATGGCTGAAAGCCTTCGCACCTTCTGCCGCCTTGGGTTCTGGCCATGGCTTTGAATACCAAGTGTTTGCGAGTTCCATTCCCCGTTCCGTCATTTAGGGCTGACAATGATGCATTTTCCGAACCGTGCCGGTACGGGCACCAAAGTATTGTCAGACAAATGGCCCTACCCTCCGTGAAAGGCAAGACCGCCGAGGGTCCGGGGAGCTAGTAGCATTTCCCACAGAGACTTTTAGGGCAGCCCTGCATGCCCACGTTTTGCAGGAGAGTACGGATACCGTAAACCCTCTCAGGCAGACCAGCAGTATCTCCTGGCCCTATCAGGCTGGCAGGCTGACGTCTATCCCCGTACCTGGAGGCTGGTGCGCCTTACCCAAGATGCCGGGCAGCCCAGTTCGCCACCAAGCTCCCTGGGTATTGAATGGTACAACCGAGTGTTATATTAACGAGATACGAAAGTACTAAGGTTGCGATAGATGGACAAGAAGAAACAACCACGCCAAGGATAACGTCTGCTTGTTGTTAACGGGAAGAGGCATGCTTTCCTAGCAGACGGCCATCGAGGAAGTCCAGGCCTGGACGTTGGCTCCCTGCGCATTTCCTTCTTAAACGTTCGTACGTACGGATACACACACCACCACCCTTGACAGAGCGGGGAGGGTCGTGGTCCGGGCTTTGCAGCGAGGTTTACAGCGTGCGTTGTCATTCCCTTTCTGGCCCATTGGCAGGCCCAAGACACCGGCGGCCGCGAGCGATCTAGGCCATCCCCGTCTGAACTCGAGTACCCAATTCTGCGTGCGCAGTACTGATCACCTTACAACCCACACAGTTCGGCGTGTGACGACCAAATATGGTGATTCTGCCAGGTCCTGTGCCTTCATCGGACACTACCGCTATGCCTACAGATGCAATCGTGGTGATACCGAATCTCGCCAACGAGGCCGAGTTCGCTTTTGTCCGCGGATAAGTTACTCACGGCGGCGAAGAGGCTCCCCGGACGCTGTGATCTGGCCAAGTGTGGCCTGTGACATGCACTGGAACATGCTATTCGCCAATCATGAAGAATGATTCCAAACCGGGAGACGCGTTAATAGAAGCCAGCGTCGCTTCCATTCAGCTCGCTTACAATCGTGCAGGCTAGCAATCAACCAGACTTTGCTTACGGTCACATTTACGCTACGCAAAGCCAGCCACCCGTTGTCCGCCACTGAAGGGAGGCGTCTGACCCTACTTGCTGCGGAGTCTTCTCCGAAGACCACCTCGCAATTCCGCGAAAGGGGAGAGTGACATTTGAGTTTTCGGAATCTTGCGCTTTCACTAGCTCTGACTGGCGCGAGACTTGTGGCAGTTGGCCATGTACGGTAAGCATGACAAAAGCTCATGCTCGCACGCTCAAAGCCCTTCCCTTCAGTGGATAGTGGCTTTCTTCGGTGCACCACTTATCAACGACTGCGCCGCGTCCGTCGATAGTCTGTCGATGCCCAGGCAGAGTCGTGCTGGAGCGTTTCGGAACGAATCGAGTACGAATACCCCGCACCGTAGGCGGTTTGATTTTGGAGCATCGGCAAGGTGGGGGTAGAACGGGGCCAATCGGCTCCGATGAGGGTTTCCCTGCTGCCCTGCAGTTCAAATCTCCACGCTGCAGCTCCAATGCTCCATACCCTGATCATGTCAACCAACGATCCAAGAACAACAACAACAATAACAAACGGTCAACGAGGTTGGATTCTGGAGACAGGACATGTCCCAAGCGCACGTGGGTGATGGTTCATCTGACGAGTCATGCAACGACTCGAACCCTCATCACATGCAAACCACATACGGATGGACATTGTTGGAACATTCATCAGCCACAACAAGACAGCTCTGGCGCGCTTGCCAATCCAAGAAGGACGAATACCTACTGGTTGAGTGCGGAATGTTGGCAAGAGCCCGTCTGCCTTTGGATAGACTAGGACGGTATGATGGCGGAAATCCAACCCCAAAGCCACCTCCTCAGCCCTACACCGTTTGGGCCTCGCTGCCGCGGCTTGCTTAGCTTCGTGCCTCCAACTTGGCGTCTGTCTGTCGGCCTGTCGACAGGGGTATCCGTACTCCCTCGTGCCCCAAGCGGAATAGGGCGTAGATCCTGCTCGCACGAGCCACTCCAACACGCTTGCGTGGGTTCAACATGTATCTGTACGGAATACTTAGTCAGGACCCGGACAAGGCCGTGAACACGGATTTCACCAATGTCGAAGCAAAATGCTGCAGCAATAGAACTTTCTGCAGGCTCATTGCCATTCGAAAGTGACTAGAGAGTAGGTACTCGGATTCTGGAGGTATGATTGCATTTTCGACCAGGAACGAGACAGCTCTACTCATACTTTGTACGTCAAGAAAGCTTCGAAACTCGGACTGACGTTTCCAAAGCCTACCTCACGTCGATCTAGCACTCACGGCCGCGAGGACGCCGATGGTCCGGCTACTTCTGTGCGTTCTGCTCTAATGAGAGGGTCTAGTTCGAATCCAGGTCGACTTGCGAATGGCGTTCGCTGGGCAGAATAGACATACGCCGCCGGGATACATGAAGATAGCGCAGCCAGATTGGCGCCGCATTACGGGGCTACCACGGACGTAACCAGCATAATTTCGACGATTTGGAAAACATTGCAAAAACTATGTTAACCTTCAGCGAGGCTTATACAAGTTTGTAGCTATTCGAGCAACGATATCGAGTTGGAGGCTTGGCCTCTTGAACTGACCGAGCCGGATTGCACCACTGTGCGCGATGGCAGAAAAGCTCTTGCTAAGGACACGCAGCGCCTACATGTTCTGAATCAACATTACCGCAGGCTATACTCGGGAAGCTTTCTGGGAGGCACTTTGGACGAATCTCGTGGACCATCACTGCGTGTCCGAAGTGATGAAGTGCGTACGGATACGATTGCAAATTCGATGCAAATGGGACATATGGACAATGGCAGGTACTGAACGAACCGGGATGCCGATTGAAAGGCCTAAAGAGGACAACGACCCCAGACCAGCCATCTCGAGAACCCCAGAGCGTCGCCACTGAACCTCAAACCGCCGCCGCCAGACGCCAGTGCTTCATCGCCCCTCACAGACTGCACGTCACCAGAGCCCGCGACTCATATTGAGCATCTCCACATTTCCACCGAGAGCACCGAGATCACGGGCGGAAACACACCTCCTAATCCTATCAGACTTGGAAGGCAGGAACGCTTACCCCATTGTCAGAACTCAGAATCCTACCGAGTATGAAGAATCAACAATGAGGCTCTTTGCTACTTCTGGTATCTCAACTCGAAGCCTTTCAAGGCCTCCCTGTCCGCCCTGTGCCTTTTCAAGGGGCCTCATTGGCCATTATCATGGTGTGACACCGTTGGAGATGCAAGGCAAAGGGGCCGGACCTTGGACAGCTGGAATTCCATGCCTCGGCATATTCAGACCCAAATCCTAGGGGCCTGTGGGTTCGGACGTCCTGATAACTGGAGATTGGGGGAGAACTGGAGAATGAAAGAAGGCTGTGCAGCGCAGTGTAATGGAGCTTGATGGAGTCGCTCCGATGGGTGACAAGGCGATGGCTTCCGTATTGGAGCGACCCCCGAGTCCCGTCATCCAATGGGCCATCCACGACCAGAATGGCATGAAACATTGCCAGGCTCGCCAACCCATGCAGCCATCCCCGAAAGCCCAAGCTTTCGTCTACTGCACTGCACACATAGCGTACGATTCAACCACCCAAAAGCTCCAGTCCGTCTCCTGTGATCTAGTGTATCCTCCCATGAGTCCCATGGCACCTGTCTTGATTCAGTACCCGGACACCCGCGGGGGGAGCCTGGCACACCCATTCACTCAACTGGCAACAAAATGGAACTTGGCTATGCCTTACCCCTTAAAGGCTGCAACTGCCGAAGCCTCGCAATTGGCGTTTAGGCGCATGACTTCCCTACGACTCAACGAAGGGGACAACGAAGGGGACCACGACGTTCAGACGGCATGAGCTACTTGTACACTTGATTGCGAACGAATACGTACGCTGAGATCGCCCATTTTAGTCACACGCCATGGGCTAGGCATGTCTTCCTCAGACTGGGGCCTCCATGACACTTCAATAGGCCATTGGAATTTGCGCCACAGCTTCTCAGCCACGGGGTGTGAGTGCAGCCGCTAGCCTCTCCGCAAGGCTCGATGCTCGCTATACCTACCTCAATACCTACCTACCATGGCTTTCGATTCGTGTTCGAGACGAGTCACTAGGCATGGGATCAGCTGAGTCAGAACCACTATCCGTACGGATACAGAGTAGATGGCTTTGGTGCCCAAAGCTCCTGTAGAACATAAGCACACCGAAAGAAAAAAAAAAAACTCACCTCGGTGAGAACGAAGCTCATCTCTACTCCATACCTCTCTGTGCCTCCTTGCACGCCAACGGGTCTTCTTACCCACTTCGACTCTATCCATGGAGAATTTCCGTTTTCTGCTCTCACGGTGTGCTGACACGATATCGAAATCTCAACAGTCAATCCTATAATGCAAAAGAGAGTCGAGGTTTAACGGTTCAAACTTCCAGGTCTTGCAAGCCCCAGCTAAGGATCCAAGACAAGCAATGGGAATCAACAATCCCAATGTCCGTAGGGCATCAGACCCCCCGCCGATCTTTGCTGTGGGCCGAACAAGATCTGCCATTCTAGCGGCCAAGCTCAGATTGCTCAAGAGCGCGTGCGGTGTCTACACCCTCTTCACCTTGAAGCGATCCAATGATGGAGAGGCAGAACTTCAGACGGACGATGCTAAGGATGCTGAGCGAAGAGAAGGCGGCACCAGTGCTGTTCTTAGCAACGGTCCATTCCCTATGTGAGTGGTGCAGCGCAAGCAATGTGGACTTGAGAAACACAATATGCTCCGGTGCTGTCTCGAGTAACAGTTCTATGGATACGGACGCCTGGAATAGCGTGGGCATCTTAGTGCAACGATCGACTCCACTGCCATGGACAGTAAGCAGGCTGCAGGACGCCATCCCTCGGGAACAATTTCAAATCTGCCTCCCGAACTGCGCTTCTCCTAAGCTCAAGTTGTGGCAGAAGCCAATCAAAAAATGACTGCCTCTGGAGGTATCGGAGAAGCACAACTCTATTGCGGGGGAGAGACAGAACAGGCACGCTGGTTATCCACACAACCATCATTCTCGGCCGTATTGTTCGCATTACGCTCACTAGGCGCCATAATCGCTACATGCCATCAAAGGCTACAGCCATCTCAAGTCAAGTTACCAAGCCAAGACCACGATTCACCTTTCCAGCTAGCACCTGACTAAGTACTCGAGTGGTTTGTCACCACATCGCTGGGAGCTGGGAGCTGGGAGCTGGGTGGCACAGGTAGCTAGATGCCATGGCCATAATGCCTCGATCGAAGACAGGGCCGCGTGCCCAAGATCAAATTTTCTTCAACGGCGATGACGTTCAAGGGCTGGTGACGACTGTGGCGCGGACTGCAAAGTGAGGGTTGGGCTTCAGGACTGTTGGTTCATGACTGCTGATTTCAGAGCGAGACCTCTAGTCGTTTAGCGACCATGCCAAGGGCCCAATTCTTTGGGCACTGCTTCCAATATCCTACTTTGAACCTGGTCTTCAACTCACCTACACTTGGATGTCAAATGTCGCGGCATAGCTCAGGCAATGGAAAGAGGGCAGTGTTTCCCTGCGATGTCTAGCTGCCCATCGATTGGTCGCAGGTCCAGATGTGTGCGGACGTCCCATTTACCTCCGGCCTGGTCCGTTCGCATGATGGCTTGGCGTTGCTGAAGACCGGCACGCCCGCATCAGGTTGAAGAGCAACCCGGACGACATCTCGGAAGGTGGGTGCGGGCGCGGAAGAGGGTCCTGTATTTACATCACCATCCTTCCGGAGAAGTTTCCAGGTCCCCAGGTAATCAATCACCTGGCTGCGTGGCGTTTGGACAGCGTTCCCGATACGCCGTGCCGGCGTCGTCATCCTCCTTTGACTGGCTGTCATTCCAGCGAGCAGAGTCATCGACAACAGGAAGGGACAGTCCCGTGGGGCGGTGCTAAAGCTTAATCTCTAACCCGTCGTGCCCGCCAGGATGGTCGTGGTTTCTGCTCCATGGTTTTTGCTATGGAGGGTGCGGAAGAGAGGCAATAACAGAACACTGCTAAAGGGTGTTGGCAGTTCGACGAGGACTATCGAGCCTTTTCCTGCCGGTTTGGTTGCCATTGTCGAACTGATAAACACCATCCACTTGGACGAACACGGTAGCCCTGCGATTTCGATGTCTTGGGCCCCTGGTCTACAGTATCTGTCCGTCTTGTAAGAGGTTCGCCGATTATCCAATCGCCCACCAAAGCTGCCAGGCAGTCCCAATCAACTTGCTTCGTCGGCGCCTCTGTACATACATCACTAAGTACACAACATGCCAGTCTAGGCCGCCACGACAAGCCACGCGACATCTAGCTAAAGCCCTGCGAGTAAAGGGAAATTGCCGCGGGCAATGCCTAGCTGAGACAAGAGGTAATCCGAACCGACTCATTACACTCTCAGCCCACCGAGGCATCGTTGTACCTAAGCCAGGTCCAGTCTCACTCTGTGTCCCATCTGATAGCCGAGTTACCTATATCTCCATGAATAGGACTCCCGCAACGTCGTACTGTTGCAGCGGAGAACGCGAAAACGTAGGCATGCACGATCATCTCAATTCCAAAAGTCCAGGCAGCTTATCGGAATCCCAAACAATGCCGGTTGGTAGTCAGCCCGATGAAATACAAGACATGCGCGCCCTGCGGTGACCGGGCGCTACGGTCTCATCCTGGGACCGAAGACCTGCAAGCAGCCGCGAGTACCTACGGATACAGGGCTGAACAGACAGTGACCAGATATCGCCGGGTATGGATGTGGCGTTGCCCTTTCCGGCAACATGCATACACATGCTGACACGAGACAATGCGACGGCAGCACATTGTAGACTAAGCCGGCCGGCAAGGCTCGACTTTGAAGTAGAGTACCACGAGTACCATCAAAGTGGCGTGCTGAGAAGGATGAAGGCGCACCGTTGCTTGTATCCATGTCTCAGACGCCTTAACACTAACGGTCTAGGTATTCCTTTCTTTCTCTTTGTATGCCCCATTCCCTGATGCATTCTACGCCGCTGCTCAGCAGAGCTACTGGCACTACATGTACAGCAGGCCGACTTGTCATGACATCTAGTTGGTCTACGCAGTCTGCAAGACAGCCGGCGAGCAAGGGGCGGGGCCATGCCCGCTGTGTCGGTAACTTCAACTTCCTTCACGAACCACCTCCCCTCCATTATGACCTCTTCTGCTGCCTACGGCGGTCATATGACTGAAAGGCGTACAATTGATAGTTGCCAGGATTATAAGCTGTCATCTTCGAAGCATCCTTTGTTTACTGGGATAATATCAGGCAAACAGCTGGCGGTGAAGAACTGCAGCCTTGGCTGCGAAAACACAAACGTCCCAACATGGCCTGCAAGGCCGAGGCAACCTGCATTCGCAATTGCTACGACTCAGGTTGCGCCGTGAAGATTAACTCATGCGCGTCGTCACGATTTTGAAGCCCAAGGTCTTGCAACTCTAAGGCACGGCATAAATGCTCCCATTGTCAATACGCCAATATCTCTTGCGGCGTATGCAGACGCCCGTCGATTCCGCCTCCCCTCTCACCTGACTCACACTTGATCCAGTTGCAAGATCATAACCCCAGCCACCATTCGCTCACTTGGCCATATTATGCGAGGAAGTCAGACATAACAGCACGAGAATCGCGAGGGGATCTTCGCATTACTTAGGCCTACCTACGTACCTACCTATCCGTCTCCCTTGGGATGCGGCCGCTAAGGCCTGACAGCATATCTCCCCGCTCCGTACCCCTCTCAGCCGTCACTCAGCAGGAACTGTGCCGTTCAGGTGCAGCATCGATCACGGTACAATAGACATGTCCACAAGATCCTTTATTCGTCTTGGTGCGTATTTGGACCAACGAAAAGATTAGGATCTCAGTCCTTCCGTGGACTAGCATTGAGGGGAAACGTTTTGAGTGGCCAGAATCCGCAGCCAACGTATAGGCGGTTCGACAACGTCGACTGCAGCTCCCTCCGGAACTCGATGGAATGGCCCACGGCGTTTATCGGTTTTCGAATCTGTCAGATGGCACATGGCTTACTCCGTGACGGCCAGCTGCGAACTCCTTCTCTGCACTTCATGCGCATCAGAGTTAGATCCTTGTAGTATAGTAGCAAAATCTGTAGCTTATTTTGGGGTCCTAATTCCACCGGCATCATTGAAGCCATTATTCAATGCTACAAGCTTCGATAGAGGCGCCTCACTCATATCATCAGCCTTGCGTCTACTAAGATCTGCACGGTTGGTTCGCTCTCTTCAGCGGTCCTCGGACATTGACGTCCTCCCCACGCTACCTGCCACACAAGCGATCCGGCTTGCTACGCCTCGTGCTGAAAGGCTCTTTCGTCGCTGTAGCGAAGCTTGCATCGGATAGGGGCTATAGCAGGGATTATCAACTGTGCCCCGGGCATATTTCGTACACACTTTGTGACCTAAAGGCGAATACACGCTGTGATGAGAGACAGGCATCGAGGAAGCGGTGTGTCGGCCGTATGGTTGTCCGGTAGGTTCACAACAGAGCCTCCGGAACACGAGACGATGCCAAGGTCCGTACGGAGGTGAAGCTAATCTTGTGGCCGGTCAGGCTTCCGAATCAGTCGGTCGTCCGCCGGGCGAAGCGGGGCCCGTACCGAGGTGTCGGTTTTAGCGGGCACGGGGGCAGGCGTTCGGAACTTCAAACTGGCACGCGGAGTGATACCACTTGGTCCTGACAGGGCTGATAGCTTGGTCGATTTGACTCTTTCCGGGTTGTTACTCTTTACTTGAAGCTGATCTGCTGCCTTTCGGACCCATCCTATCAGCATCGCCACCCCCGTTGTCTCGATCAGTCATTTCCTCAGCAACAGATGACTATTTGGGAATGCTGCGTCACTTACTCACTCAACATCCGACATCAAGCCCACCTTAACAGTCGCAAGAGCCTACATAACAAGTACGGAGTACGGGTTGAGGATTTCGCAGCATCAGTGGCCTTGGGTACAACGGCACGAACTCCCGGTGAATGGGACCTGGTTTGGATATGGGCCCCCAATTCACTACCAAAGAGGATAACTTTCAAAAGTCCAAAGAGTTTCGTCATTCTCGTGTCTTGAGGACAGGCATCAGCACGTCTTTACCAGCGTTTTCAATAGTTCCGGGGCTCTGCTGCATCTAGATCCGCGGCTGAAGCCTGGCCACTGCGTGTAACCCGCATGGCGTTGTGCGAAGTCGAGGGTCGTTACACTCAAATTGTCAGCATTGTGAAGAAAAATTAAAAATCGGCATGGCTTCTTCATCGGGACACGGAGCGAGGACGGAGGGAGTGCCCCATTCGGCAAGCGCATGGAAGCGGTCTAGAAGGATTTCGGAAGTTTGCGTGGCCTACCCGCCTGGCTGCCTGTCATCAGCTCATGTCGGTGATCCCTTCCAGTCAGCATTTAGTTACCGGCTTTTTCAGCTCTCGACGCTTAACCTGCGTGGAGTTGAACAAGATCGCTTCCAAGTTGCGCGAGACGTCGTGCCACCATCACGTACCACAAAGTGGGTATACGAGTACAGAGGCCCAAGAATGACTAGCCGTATATGAAGTCTACGACGTTGCATGACAAGGTCGCGCAGTTTGACTCGCTGTCGAGAAGCCTTATTGGGCACGACAGGCGCGTCGACGGTGGTCCTCAGTAGGAGACTTTTGGTTGGATCGACGGCGATGATCTGCCGTCCTGGCCCCAAAGCCCAAAGGGCCCCGCGGTAGCACCGGGCGAGGGGCATGACTAGGACAAAAACCGAACAGGGCCATGCCTCGGGTTCTGAAGTGTGTAATTGCGCCGAACAGGCGGTGGTGGTGGCGTCTTGGAAACCTAGATTTCATCTTGGCTGCGGCTGCCTCTACTTACACCACCTATACTATTTTTTTTCAGCCGCCTAGGGATGATGGAGATGGGCCAGTTGGGCTGGCTAGACACTAGTGCCCCCATCGGCCACACTATGGGTGTCTCCGGTCAACCGAGATCATCAGAGTGTCATTCTTCTGGCCAAGGTGGTTCACATCAAGCGACGATCGAGAGGCACGGCGGCATGGAAGCATGGCAGAGGGGAGCCAGTCGTCAAGGAGTATCGGTCTTTGTCCCATGCCAACCGAACCCACCCCTGAGATCTCCAGTCCAAACGAGCTGCGCCCAGCGATCAGCCATGCCGGAGCAGTAACACCCGGGATGGAACCTCCCATCGGCGCGAGTGCAACAACGCAGGCAAGCAGAGATCAACTTGCGACGCGCATGTTTCCTGGACCTGTCCGGACACTTGTTGTGAACGGCCGGGAAGATGTCGTACTGCTTCATTGTCCATTCGTCGCTTTCCCGGCTGGCGTTCGGTGCTTACGCGGTCCACGGAGGTAACGGTAGAGTGGCGGCGGGGACACACACGGAGCATTGACAAAGTTGCAAAAGCAGCAGCCCCCTGGGCCCCTTTCGAAGGGGCAGGCAGGTCTATGGGATACATACCAAGCTGCCCATGATGAAGCAAGTTTCTGTCAACAGCAAGATTTCAGTAGTCATCCTCATCCGACAAGGACAATTCCTGACTGAGGAGAGTTTAGCCTTATGGTCCCCCTTGCAGGCACCACGCTCACGGCATTGGGTTCGCAATGGCGTCGCACCAGGTGGGCAACGGCTCGTCGATGGCCTCCCAGACGGACAAGCGCTGCCCATCCGCCCCTGGGCCTCCGTGTGCGTTCCATGGGTTACGCGTGCTCCTCGCCGGGCCACAGCCAATAGCCGGCGGTGCCCCGGCCGGAGGTATTGCTCTCTTGGAGTCCCGTCACCGGCGTCTCGACTGCCGGAAGCCCTAACCATCATCTCCTTCGTCTATCCTTGCAGCCCCCATCCTTGGACGACGACCTCTCCCACGGATTGCACAGGTATTAGCTGTTAAACTGTTCCCTTCCTGCTGGGTACTACATAAAATCCCGCGACGCCCCCGTTTTAGGGAGATTGGCATCATGGCCCTGTCCCCCCCCGGTGGCCCCCTCTCTGTCCCCGACCGGCCGGCCCTGTTTGTGGATACCTCTACTCTGAACTCGACATTGGATCACCGGCACGAGTGTGGCAGTGCAAGAAGCAATGTCCAGGAGGTTGCGAGCGTTCTCGACGAGTCATATTCAGCCTTTGGTAGAACCTCCAACCTGGCATTGCGAGGGCTCCCTTTATGATGTATCGCTATTTGATAAACCTTTGTCTTGTTTTTGGCTTTCTGACAGGCACACACGCGCTTGCTTTCTCCTTTCTAGACCACTACCGGGTCGAGGGAAAGCTTTGAATGCAGTTAGCTACGGCGGGGTTTCATGTGCTTATTTTTGAGTTCAATCTCGGCAGAACCTCCCATCTGGTACCTGGGACCTCATTCCTTGACAGCTTTAGAACGGCGATGATGAAGCTGCAAAATGAGGGGTTGAGAGGCCGCGATAGCAACTCATTTCCCTGTCCCGAATCTATAACCCAATTCGGCAAGGCGACGATGTCACTGACCTGAAGCGATTGATCGCTCGCAGGCTGGTCAAGAGCCGGGGGGGACGGTCGGCGACTAACCACGACTCCTGGCCTGGGTTTACACACCATGGTATGGACCTGGTCCCTCTCTCTCACAGCTTGCGCTAAATCGCGAAGTTGAGAAAAAACTCCCCTTTTCCCACCCCCTCCTCCTCCCCTTTAACGCCCCCCTTTCTTCTCTGCCCGGCTCTTCCCAGCCAGTCCCTGACATGCCGAGGTCGAGGACGGGGATGCCCTCTTGTTTGGGAAAGGCTTCAACCTTCTGGCAGCGTCAACAACCACGACGCGCTGATCAATGATCCCGCACTTTCCGCCCTACCGGCCACAGGCACGCCGCACAGCTAGGTAACTCCTCTGCCTGGGACACAACGCCAAGGGTCCGTCTGCCGCTAGGGCGGTGCGCTAACCCTCCAGTTGGGAACATGTCACACGTTTCGCCTGTAGGGCCGCGCAGGGCGGAAGGCCTACGCTTTTTGGCAAAGCACAAACCTTCAGGTTTCCCAAGCGTCCAAGGTCCCCACATGACGAGGAGAGGCAGCAGCAGCGGCAGCAGGTCAAGGTTCGGCTGAACGGGGGGACGGACACGGGGACCAGTGCCCAGTGTCCACCACCCGTTCTCGGTTTTTGTGTGCTGTTGCTTACTTAACCTGTATTGGTTGTACGAGGTTTTGCTAGACGTCTTCTGGAAGAACACGAGAAGGTCGTATATGCGAACTAGTCTCGGACTCCAAGGGGGGTGGGCACGAGGGGTCGACCACCAGAGCCTGGGGACAAGAAATGCCAAAGACGAGGCAATATCCGTGATTCAGCTGGCTTGACGGGCCTCGCCCCCAGGAGCAAGAGACAGGCCCATTCCAAACGGAGTGCTTAGGGCCAAACAATTGCTGCTGACCATTTGACGACTGGCATCCTGTAAGCATTTCTCTGGCCAGTGCCGGCACAAGAGAAGCAAGGCAGCGTTACGCGCGGGGTTCTTCCCATCATTACATTCTCCGATGCAACATCAAAGCTCAACTCTCATGGGGAGTCGGAACACGACCAAATCACGAACTATTCCCCATGTGTAGTGTATCGTCCGCTGTCAAATCTGCTTTTTTCCACACTGTTACACTACTCCATCGCCAGGGCATGTCAGCGAAACCTGCGCCCGGAGACCTGAACCCTGCGGAAGTGTGTATATCAGATTCTGACCAAGGCTGATTCTGCCCGATGCCATAACATGCATAGGGGTGGGTGTAAGTATGGTTCAGTCCGGTCTAGAGAGTAAAGATACGGACACGGATAGAACGCTCTGGGGGCGACCGGGGAGGGGGCCGAGAGGTAATCAATCGGCGAAAATCTCGACTTGATCCTTGGAGTACGGACACGGGTGACGGGATCGGATAGGATAGGGAGAGGGAGAGGGCTGCCGCCGCCGCGCCATTTCCTTTCTTTCCCTCGCCTTCACCTTGGACCTGGGCTCTGTCCGTGGTGCCTGTCCCGGCCGGGTGCGTACGCAGCAGTCCGTAGGTACGGCTTGCTGCTCCATCAAAAACCCCGTTCCCACGTCGGGGATACATACGGATGGATCAACCAAGGGGTCTTGCACTCTTTTTGAGTTTGCGCCCTGTGGATGTTGCAGTTTGGGGGCCAAGTTCAACGAGGTTACGGGCAGGGCAGGGCAGGGCAGCAAGGCAGGGTAAGGCAAGGCAAGGCAGGGCCGCAGGGTTCGTCCGGGACATGGGCAAGGGGAGACGGACTGAAGGAATGAATTTCTGCACTTTCTGCAGGCCTGAGGGACGCAGGAGAGACGGTGATTAAGTCCCTACGGAGGGGGAAGAGAACCCGGTCAGACGTACGAATACACGCTTCCATACCATGCCATGCCATGCGATGGTCCATGGTAATGGGCAACGACGATAACGAGTACGAACCGCCCCAGCGTTGCAGGCGAAGGGGTGTCCCGTTGCGCAACGCGGTCCCGGCATACATGTAGTGCGCCTGCAACCTGCGTATCCGTAGGGCGATGATCCCGTATGCTGGTGATGAGGATGAAACGCCTTTTACGGACAAGCTTCCTTTCTCTATCTTGGGGCCCGGGCTTGTTCAGAGGTTCAGAGATACTTACACTACATACACTTCACGCAGCGATCAGCGGTGCGACAAGCTTACTGTGCAGTGTTAGACTGCTGGTAACACGGAGGATACCGTCAGATTCTCAAGCCTCTTTTTTTTTTCTAAAAGATTTGAGAAGCAAGCATGCTCGGCCCTTTTTCAGGACGAATGGAGCATTGGAGCCATGAGTCTCCACATTCTTCAGCGTCCGTCTCTTTTTTGACGATTAGTACGGTTCTCCGCGAATTTGCATCTCCGGAGCCACGGGAGCCACGGCCCACGGGGATATACGGGGTTCAAAAAAGGGTAATCACCGTTTGGCTGACCGCTGACCTTTGGTGCAAGATGTGTAATAAGGACTTTGCGAAATGGACAAACTACCCAAATGGGCTCAAGTTCCTGATCCTGAGAGTTACGTCACAAGGGCCTGACAAGTACTGTGCATTGCAGGTCCTGTTACTGCTGACTGTTCTTTAGGCTCTGGCATGCATTCTCTGGCATGCATTCTCTCAAGGGGGATGTTCCTTGCGGAAGATGCCGCCCGCGACGGCGTGTAATATGGCAAAAAAGAAGCGCGAGTAGTGGCATTGCTTACGACAAAAAACTCTCTCACACCGCACTTTTGGCAAGTCAGGCAAAGAATCGCCGAGGTTCAATGAGGCAGGCCGCAAAGTAAGAAGGACGCTAAGACGGTATCTAGATTCTACACTATGAAGTACACTAGAACCACACAGCCCTGCCCGCCGGACCCTGGGTGGAAAGATTCAGATCGGACATGGTGTGGTACTTACTATCCGTCTCATCAACCCTTCGCACGGCACACGTTTTTCTGAAGCTTTTACACTAAGACCAAAACCACGATGACCGCGACGACACGGACCAGAAAGTGTTTTCCCGGCGATGGCCCCCACGGCTTGCGACGATTTGGTGAGTTTTGTTGATTGATCGAGGTCGATCTTTGTTCGTCTCGAGTCTAGTATACTGTTCCCCCTGGCTCGGTTTTGATAACGGCCACATGGCACGATGGGAGGTGGCTTTCTAGATCTCCGATTTTGTTTTTACCTTACTGATAAGTTTTGGTCATTGAATGTTATCGACTGGTGAGGCTCTATCGTAAAAGGCTTATAGGAGCGGATAAGTAGTGTTTAATGAGCTGGCGATCTACTCCGGTGACGATGGCTTCGCATCTAAGACTGAATAGAGGCATTTTCTTGTCAGATCGTTCTGTCTTTAGATGATACGGAATTCGCTCTTCTAGAGAGGCATCGAATCTTTCTGCTTGGGGCTCGTTACGTTGCATGCCCCGTGTACCGGACACGGAGGTCCATGTTGCTTGGGCGTGCAAGTTCTCGATGCATGTCGTTTTCGCCGGTGCAAAGCATCCGACTTAGCAACGGGACAGTTCATTATCAACATTCTTCGTTGTTCTTTGATCATCCCTTTCAAGTCCTCTACGACTAGGTTCAGGCATGGCCTCATCGAATTTACTTGTTGGGCCATCTGTCCTTTGGCTTTTGCTCTCGTCAGCTCCGCTCAGTCCATGTCAGATGGTCGTCCGCCGTCAGTCAAAAGACATGCATTGAACCATTTTCAATACTATTGAAGAAGTCCGGACATGACCTTGAGGATACTAGGTACTGGGGCTGCATTATGCCGAAGCCTGTCATTCACAGGTCCTGCATGGGCTTGGCCTCTCTTGAGTTCCTGCTCAACTGGGTATCCGTAAATTTGCCCTGGTCCGGAGCAAATTCCGTCTAATGGAGACGATTTGATTTGACAATGGGACTTCTGTCCTCTCTCCAGTCTACGCTGTCTTCCATCCCCTCTCTTCCCCCTTTGCAATCTTTTCTTCTTCTCGTCCCCATTTCCCATGTGAGGTTGTGGATCAAGAGTATGTGTCGTCATTACGATCGGCTCGGGACTTGAATGTAAATCTCTGCCCAAAGAAGGGGATATACCCACGGGGGGTTTCCCTTGCTGCGCCTACTCTGTCTGCATTTGGGTCATATTCCCCAGGGGCAGATTGGCAGAAGAGGAGCCGTATCTGGCGATGTTCCAATATTTCTGTTCGGCATTAACCGAACATTCAGGGAAGGTGGTAGAGAAAAGACTCAGGTAATCCGTACGGATACTCTCAGAGCAGGGAGAAGGCATAGCTGGTGGTCAAGGAGCATCCAGCCCGCCTGGGGTAGGGGGGAGGGTCGAGTGGGTCGTTATCAAGCGCTGTTCGTGTGCCTGTCAGAGTGGAAGGGGGGCGGGTAGATTTGGGTTAATGAGTAAGGCGAGTGCATCTTTTCTGGGTCGGGTTGCGAAAAGGCAGTGCCGTGGAGTTGCAGCCTTGCTGGATACTTGCGGTTGCTCCGCTGCCATTTGGGGGGTGTTTATTGCTATTCGGGGACACTACTTACTTTTGTTACTTTTGCTCTGCTCCATTGACCAGGAGCCTCCAAAACGACAATGCTTTGTCAGCGGTTCGTAAGATGGCTCCGGAGGGGGTGTAATCGTCCCAACTTTTACAGAGAATTGACTCTCACAACTCTCTGTCATATTCTGTCCGGCTTCTCCATCTCTCTCTCTGTGTGACTTTGTAGCCTGTCTCTGTTGATCATTCATGGCACGGACGGAAGTTCCGAAAGGGAAAAGAGGAATGAAGGTTCCACTGCGGGAACCTTCCCATCTCCTGCCGTGAGGTCTTGCAACCGTGGTTCGTCTATGGGCATGAGAGAGAGAGCGATTGATTCGTACAACCTCGTGTTCGTCTTGCGTAACAGTCGACTTTGTCATGTATCTGTAAACTGCTTTGCATCCGTATGTTACGGATACTTGTCACTCACATCACGTCCCACTCTATCTCGGTGCGCGCGGGTGGGGTGGTTCGGTATTTCTTCATAGAAAGTAAGCATTTACCGATAGGGATCGATGACGCTCGCCATTTGAGTCAGATATCGCGGGTCCGTAATAACTAGGCTGCGTATCACTCATTATCTCAATGGTACGTGTAAACCTGTCAAATCTGCCACTGCAATCCTGCATCTTGCAGGGAGGCATCCAAGGGAACGGGGAAGGGGTACTTTTCCCGCTAACTTGATGCCATGAGGAATCAAGAAAACTAGCCAGATGCTGGGAAAATGGGGATCTTCTAACGACGGGACCAGGAACGGAGGTTCGTCTCGGATGTAGTGTAGTGTGAAGCAGTAGTGCCGTTTGCTAGTGCCGTTCAAAGGGTGACAATTTGCGATTTTCGCGATTTATTCATCGGGATGGCCCCCTTCTTGGCCTGGTTCATCCTAGACAAATCGCCGCACATCAATCTCACCAAGCTAAACTTTCCTACTGCCGCTACTACCTTCCCACGCGTGACTAACACTAGCCCCGATTGCTATGTAAACTATCTCGTCGATATCAAAGCAGCGTGCGTACGCAATCGCCTACTGGGTCCTCCATACTCCGTAAGTTAGGGGTTCGTTTCCATGGTTGACGTTGGAGGTGAAAATGTCTTGGCAATTTCTCCTTCGCCCTGGTGCTGAGGTCAATAATGTTTTGGTCCGACACTGCGGCGAAAGAAGAGGATGCGCCCCCCTTTCCTCTTGGCACTATTCACTCCCCCGGAACCACCCCAGCGCATTACAACCGCGGCTTAAGTTTCGAGCGCGTAGGCGATGGGACGGACGGCTTGAACTTTGTTCCCCATATCCCATCTTCACCCTGCGCCCTAAGGCTCTTCGTCATGAAGATGAGCGCAAAAAGTGAACCCCCTCCCCCCTTGAGCCAAAGAATCCTTACCGTCCTCGCCGCCTTGCCCTACCATGCGGTCCATGCCACCGCACCCCCTTCAACCCTTGAGCGTCCTGTATTCCTTCCTGCTCGCCTGGTGCCCTGGCCCTGATTCTGCCCTGCTGCCCAGTCTACTCTACGTAAATAATCTCCGATGGGGCGACGGGGCCCGTACTAGCACCTGGGACATCGCAACTGGGCTGTGAAGGGGGGAGGGTGTGCGGAAGGGCGGTGGTCTTTAGGTCGTTTTGATGCGTTCACATGGTGGGCGTGTGTTCTTGCGCTGTGGGACTACACCGGGTCCACATCTTCACTCACCCCGTTCTGAACGGGGAAGGGGGGGGGGGTCCGGTGGTTGGGCGGAGGGAGGCACGTTTATTGTCAGATGCGGACGGGTTTGTTGTTTGGTTATGGATGTTATGGCCGTAGCGGACGTCGTCATCATGCAAAACTTTTGATGTGGGTTTGGAATAGGAGAGGGATAGAGACTTGGTGTTGGAGATTGGTGGCGCCGGGCATTCCAGCCCTAACGGGTGATGTGGGAGAGACCAAGGCCGTAGGGTCCGGATCCGATTATAGTCGCTCTAGACCCATCATATGAGCGTTTAGTGTTGATTCTAGGCTCTTGTTTTTGCGGGGTGAAGGGTGAGAGGCATTTGGTCTAGAAGGTTGGGATGCGTTGGTGGAACTCCGGCACTTTTTTTTTTTGGTTCATTTGATATTGGGACTTTGGAATTGTCTGGCAGCCTGACAGTCTGAACTAGCGCGTGAGAGGGAGCTTATTCTACGCCGTCTCTCATTTGGCTTGGCTTAGGCTGAGACCATTGGCGATGTGATTGGGCTTACTCTATGATCGGACCACGCAAGAGACGGGATGCGAGGAAGATGCGGAATTCCGAGGTGTTTCGGGGGTTGCTGACTGTGAAGAGCCCCGTGTGGACAGCAAGGCTGGCCAGTGGGCGGTGGACCAGAGACGAAAATGAGGTATCGTAAATGAGACTTGGCGATAGCGATTAGACGTGTGGGAGAAGCTCTTTCGAATCGATCTGACCATGATTTTAGTCAAGTTGCTTAGGGTTGCATCCCCAAGACCTGATGTAAGCGTCGCAGAATGCTGACGATGATGACGGTTCCTGAAAGTCAGAGGGACGGCGTCACATTTCCTTGATCCGCCATCTCTGTCGAGGGTGGTGCTCAGTCAGCCCCCCTCTTCCCGAATGTTGCGTGACGCGGTCCGGTGGGCTGTGTAGTTGGTGATGAACATCGGGGATCTCGACTTCACGTGGTTGATCGTGCTTTCCTGCGGCACAGGGCTGGCTACATGCGCCGGAGACTAGTGTTCGATGGGCTGTCGGTAGGTGGGATGGGAGGGTAGGGTGAGTTCGATGCGGCGGGATGCTATCAGGCGTGTCTCTTTTGTGGGTGTGAAGGTTTGTTGGCTCAGCTGTCAAATGTTGAGATGAGCCGTATGTTGTCCAATCCGGAGACGCGCATCTGGGCTGGCATCATGTCAGATTCTGGTGCCCGAAAGATGTTTCCGCATCTTCATCCTCCTCCGCGCTGATCCCTGGTGATCTCCATGTTGCTGACGAAGTGCCCTAGAATGCTTCTTCGGTATGTCGTATAGCGTTGGATGGCTTGCGGAAGTCCTCACGCTACGTCGAGCCTCGTGGTCGACTCGTCTTCGCAAGGACCGGTCTCGGGGGCGTTGTTGTCGGAGGCACACTTGCCGGCCAGAAGCTGGGTTATCGAGCTGTAGATGCCTTCTACTAGCCTGATCTGACATACTGTCAACAATGGCGGAGCTGGCTATGAATGCTGCAGCAGACTATTCGAATCCTTGACGTCCTCTGACTGGCCACGGTCTTAGCATGAGCTCCGTCTCCAAAGTCCGCTGACCAAAGTCGAAGAGTGATGATCTCGTCCCGGGTATCCGACAAGATAGATACATGGGCGGCGGTGGCGTCGTGGTCATCAGAGGCGAACCTCCCCCGTGTCTACTCTACCGGGACGGAAGGGGGGCGGAGTAGTCCGTTGTTATTGTCGTCGCGAGGAGACGGCAGAACTCCGCATCAAGGCGCACTCGGGGGCCGTTGGCCGAGATAGTCGCCGAAACCGACGCCGAAACCGAGCCCGAAGTTTGGGAAAGATTCAGAACTGTCCGCCGCCCCTCCTAACTCAGCCTTGCTTCGAACCGCATGAAGTCGGCGGGCCTCGAGTGCGGTACCCGTGAGATACACGCCGGCGAATCAGTGCTCATGGAAGGGACTAGGCTTAGCCTTCTTGGTGCCACTCGTGGGAGGCGGAGGGCGTTGAATGGTTCAAACACGGGGTTGAGGTCTTGTCGAGGACGTCAGAGGTTGAGGACGGAATGCTTGCCGGATCCAGGTTCATGAGGATCGCGCGATACTTTAGGGCTGCAGATTGATTGAAGTACTGGAAGCTGGGGGCGATGTGATGCTTTAGCTAAGAAGCTTAGCCTCTTCGTTGTTTTGAATGACATATGAAGTCCAGTGGAAACCTCTTAGTGAAGGGGAGCTACCGGACTTTGGCGGTATGTCGATACTTCCGGAGAATAACATTAAAGGTGGACGGGGGTCTTGTCGATCCACGTGAATACGTGGAAGTGGGTTTGAAACTTGGGGGCTATGATTGGCTGTCCCTATACGTACGGCGTATTGATGCTTGGCCTACATAGCCGTGATCTCTAATGTAAGCTTCTTACGGCCATTGGCTTGGCTGTAATGCCGCAGACGGGAGCAGATTGTTTCAGACGGGCCTTGACGTGCAACGTGGTTGACCGCTCGACTGAGCTCTCTGAATGGGCGGTGTCGTTGTATTTCTGTTGAGAATTCGTAGTTCGTTTCCAAACTCCGCGTATTTGAGCGTCTTTATGTTTGGTGTTGTGCGCTGTGGTAGGTCGCCATGACGTATCGTAAAGCTGTCTCCGCGTATAGGCTGGCTCGGCAACGCCTGAGCGGCACCGCGTTTCACTGGGAATAGATGCACCTATGCCTGTAGCCACCCACCACCTCCGCAAAGACAACCATGCAAAATGGTCATCATACTATCTCTGATTGGCTCTCAAAATATCCCGTGGAGTTGTAGATGGGGAGTTTGGAGCGATACCGAAATGTTCGGACGAGACGATCTGCGGACATCGATATGTTGGCATGATTCTGAACCAGGGGCGAATGAACGGGGAAACGACATAGCCCCGGTGTGAGGAGAGGGCTGGCCGTCATGATGTATGGTCACCTCTGGATAAAACGGAAATGAATATAGGGGGCGAGAGATGTATGTGTAATGAGCTCTCGGCGTTATTGAATATAAATATGAGGCCGTGAGAAGGGTTCGTCGGAAGAAAATTGGCAACAGACAGCAATCATCTCATCTTTCATTCGTTTCTTAGCTCCTCAAACTGACACCAATCTTCACCAACTCAAAATGAAGCAGTCTTTCACCTTCATCACCGCTGCTTTTGGCGTGGCCTCAGCCAATCCTCACCTGGCTGCTGCTCACTTGGCCAACCCTCACTTCCGCAGAGCTTCCCCCACTGAGTGGACTCCTGCTGGACCTGATGACTGTGAGTACACTATACTGATGAACCAAACCTGAGCTTCCAGTGCTGATAATGTAGTCCGTGGCCCATGCCCAATGATGAACACTTTGGCCAACCACGGCTTCATCTCCCACGACGGCAAGAACCTGACGAAGGACGTTGTTGTGAAAGGTCTTCAGGACGGTCTCAACTTCGGGACCGATCTTGGAACCCTGATGTTTAACATGGCCCTTATTGCCAACCCAGAACCCAATGCCACATTCTTCACTCTGTAAGAAGCCCCTTTGAAGTCTTGGCGCAACGCACCACTAATCCAACATGTATCAGGGACCAACTTAACGTTCATAATGTCCTGGAGCACGATGCTAGCTTGAGGTAAGTTTAAGCTCTGCCCGTCTGTAGGAGAACAATGCCTCGACATATCCAGGCTTTGGTTCTTCCTGTTCGA